CACCCAATTTGGATCTATCATTCGGGAAAGTGGTCAGACACTCTGTGGTCTTCCTTAATATTCTCAGCCAGATAACACTCCTTGGGAGGGAGTTTTCAGAAAATTAGTATTTGTTGTATAATATGGAAGACTTTTTTTTCTTCAGGTCAGTCTTCACTGTGCCTCTGCCTCTCTCAAGCCAACCTTACAACCCACTCTTTGGTGGGGTGGTTTCTGTGATATCACCTGTGGTTTAAATGCAGAGGTTTTGTAGTCACAGTCTCCACCATTCACCTCTGGCATTTGCTACCAAATAGTGAACCTTCTAAGCCTCAGTTTCAGTTTAGATGGGATAGGCATGGTAATATCTTGCAGCTTGGCTGTGAGGATTAAAATGAGATATAGAAAAATTAAAAATGTATCACAATTTTTAAGACATAGTAAACAAGAAGTGTTCTTTTTTTATTTAAAAAGAATAATGGCAGACTTATGCTTTATTTTATAATAATTAGCTTATTGTCATAAATTTGCCTGAAATATACTACGAATAGTTCATCTTTTTTTCTTTTTTAGTCCAGCTTCAATATGAAATATGTAAAGATGTAATTAAAACAAATATATCTAAAAATAAAATTACAAGATTGGAAATTTATAGCCATAGAATGTTTATTTTCGCATGATTAGCTTTTTGTTTGAAGCTTTCTAAAATGATTTAATGAATTAAATAAGAGTTGGAACAAAGATCCTAATAAACCTTTCTTCCATCTGCCAACTTACTTCCTGAATGGTAGAACCTGCCATTATAAAATAGCTCTTCCTCCAATGAGTCATACACACACACACTTTTTACCTGTTCAGTATGATTCATTCCTTTTATCTCAAATACACCTCCCTTCATAAGTTCTCACACTTCCTTCATATACCTTTCTTCTTTCAAAACTATAATTAAGGATGGACTGGATATTATTAATTCTCTGGATATGCTTATTAGTTCTGTAGCCTTGAGAAAATAACATAAGCTTCTTGTGCCTCAATTTCCTTTGTAAAATAGAAATAGAATACTTACCTCATTTTTTTTTGTGAGGATAAAAGGAACAAGGTCATAGCACACTATTTGTATGCAAGAGGACACTTAATATATGTGCTCTCTCTTCCTTGCCCTTCTCTAAGCTCTAGAAAAGCACCTAAACTGATTGATATTGCTCAAACCTCACTGAGATTCAATATATCACAATGACACTTTATAGCTAGGTACAAGTGTTCATCAAATAACTTAGGGAAAGGAACAGAGCCATTAATGACACCTTATTTCTAAATAGTTTATCATAATTTTCATCAATAGGACCAAGATAAATAATTCATTTCAATTTTTAATGGATATGTTTTATGTGTGGCGTGTGTAACAATGTAAAATGAGAATTCATCATAAAGGCATGCAGTTTGTTCAAGTGTTCAATCATTCAATACATAATTTCTGAGCACCTATACTGTTCTAAGTTCTGGGAACACACACAAGCCCTTTCCTTAGAGACTAAACACAAGGGGGAGAGAGAGGAAAAAGAAAAGATGCTTACAATATAGTGTGATCAAGAGCTGAGGAAGCATATACAAGGAGCCCTAAGATTTGAGGAGGAAAGTAACTGGAGTGGAAGACTTTGGGGAAAAATGATTTCTTTGCTGAAATAAGTAGGAATGTTGTTTTCATATATAAAACATACATCCTGGGTATTTTTTCAATTTTAGATTTAAAGAGTAAAAGTTTGTTTTCCTTTATTTTCCCGTCCAAAGTATGATTAGCTTGACCAAGTCAGTTCATTACTAGGTTTCTTTTCCTGAGACCTCGAATAACCTTGACTGATAGAACATAACCACATTGGATTATCTGTTTAGTAAGCTACTTTTAGTTTGTTTCCTGGTATTGCTTTGTCAGCTCCCTGTAAATCTTTATAATCCTATTTAAACTGCCTCTAACTATAGATGCTCATTTACATGACATTGATTCTCCTGTATTTTCATTTAAAAAATTACATGATCTAAGGGATTCTGACTCTGGACTCTGAGTTATTAATTTGATAGTCTATCTTCCAACACACCAAAACCTTCAGCCAAAGTGGTCAACGATGTCTCCTCAACATTTTTAACCATAATACTCAACTGTCATGTTTAATGTAATAATTTAATGTCTGCCTCCTTCCATAAGAATTGTAAACTTCTTGAAGGCATTATTGTATTTCTAATGTCCAGCTCAATGCATGCATATTCATCCATCCAACAAGTGTGTATTAAACGCCAGGCTCTTTCCTAAGCACCTAGAGTCAATAGTAAATAATACCAAGTTTCTGCCCTTGTGGAGGATACATACAAAGAGGTGTTCCATGAAGTAACCAGGACTGCTGATTCCAAGTTCAGAGCTCTAGATTCAGGACCTCCTCTGCTGACTTCATATAGACACTTAAGTGCTTAATACAGACCAGCTATATTTCCATGCACTAACCTTCCTGGTTTATTATGAACCAATCCTTTTTTTAAAGTTTTCTTTATTCACCTTATCTACTCTTTTTGTATTTTTTAAAAATAAACATTTTAACAATTGAAGCCCTAAGGTGCATTATAAAATGCAAGTGGGGGTGGGGGGAGGGGGGGTGCCTTCCTGGTGATGCAAGGGATTAAGTGTCAGCACTATGAAACTATCACCAGCCACTGCAGCACAAGTTTGATCCTTCACCAGGGAGCAACCCACATGGTGCAGCAGACCTCTCCTTTCTCACCCACTGCTCCCCTCAGCAGTGTATTTCAGTCAGTCTGCCTATTCTGTTCCCCACTCTGTCTGGTGAATCCTCTCACCCCCTGCATCTCTGGCCTGTACCCCAGCTCTTGTATGCATAAATAAATCAACCTTTAACAAAAAAAAAATAAAAAATGCAACTGGGAAATCACAAGTATAATAAACCATGCTGGTATCTGAGAAAATACTAATAAGAATTACAGTAAAATTTTAATTTATGATATTAATAATTCATTAAATAAAATGAATAAATATACATATTTTAAAAGACAGGAGCTAACACTTTAGAGGGTCTCATTTACTCTCATTTTCTAAGTTGAGTAAGAAAGGACTCTTCCCAGTCATAGAGTGAGCTAAATAGAGATTTCTGAATTTTATTCTTTTGGTTATATAAACACCATGTTTTTTCTTAGGAATAAAAATCCCAAAAATTAATGTCACTCACAACAATATATGGTGCTGCATCTGCATAATATCCAAAGTCATTTGAAGAAAAATACATTAAAAAGTTCTTCTAGCCACCATTTAAATAAGGGAAACAGTGATCCTTAAAAATAAGTTTAAATATTTTTTTCTGACTGTTTTCCTCTTTATTTTTGAACTGAAAAACAAGAATCATAATAAATTGCCTTCTACCTAAATAGACCTTATCAAGAAATTGAAAATTCAACTGTTATTTAAAAAATCATCTCAGTGATACATTCTTGCCTTTAAAGTATATCCTATTAGCAATGAATTAAGAATACAGACTCTAAAATCAGGTCCCTTAGTAAGTACCCCGTACCCCATTGCATAACTTACTAGTTATGTGTCCATAGGCAAGTTACTTAATCTGAGGATTAATAATGGTACCTCACAAGATTTTTCTGATGATTTAAAAAACAAATATAAAGTGTTTGGAATAGTGCTTGCCCGCATGCTACATAAGTGCCTGTTAGATAAGCAATAAATAATACTTTAGATCACATTTACTATCATCAGCAATCTTTGTTTGATAAAGGCAAAATGTTCAATTCTGATGTCCATACAAAACGTTTAAATAAAAATCTAAATTTTAAGACTTGTTATTCACATTTGGCAAAACTATTCCTCCCTCTCAACTTTTACCTATTCTCATCTCCATGTCATGCCATCTCCAAAAAGCCATCCACATGTGAAAGTGTGCCTTTGTTATGCTGACTTGTTAACGCACCTCTCATCAGATTAAGAACAAGAAAAGCAAGATCTAGGCCCCTACTATGAAACTCTTAGGTAATAAAGTTAATAGCACTGTTGACCACTACCTAGAGTAAAGGTAAGGTGAGCAGGCAAGAATGTTTGCTTCAGTGCTGAAGGCACCCCAGTCTTAGCAAGGAAGGTTTTAGCAGGAATTGTACCCATTTTATGTTGCATAATAGCCTGCGACCAAGGGTTTCATTGACTAGTTGGTTAAGTAAGTTAACTTTACTCTTTGCCTCTGGTCCCTCCTGCGTAAACTGGGGATTCACAGACGATGTTTGGAGACGCAACGAGTTACCGCATATAAAGCGCTTGCATGCCATGATAAAGCAAGAATATATTGCAGTAAATTTTAGCTATATTATTAGTTTGTGCATCGTCTTTCCTTAGGGTTCGTTGTCAATAACTCTATGATTCAGAAAAGGGGGTGAGGGCGTCGGGAGGGTGAAGCAGACGGACAGCAGGAAAAACTGATAATAACACAGGAGGGCAAAGTCTAATTCTAAAGTCCCCAGAATAAACGTTAGCTTGAGGATCGGGACAGAATTCCAGAGCCCAGCCACTTGCTCACTAAAAGCTTCCAGGCAGGGCGCTCAGAATCCAGGGGCCGGATATACTTGGACGTCCAGGTGGGGAGCGAAGCGGCGCCCCCCGCACAGCCTCCTGCCACCAGCTACCAGAAGGATTGGCTCAGAGGCCGCCACCCTGCGAAGAGCGCCTTTACCCTGTGAGTTGTGTCAGTGCTTTCTCCACGGCGTGGAAAGGTAGTTGGAGTTCCCGCCGGCCACTCGGGTGACCAAGACCCCCGGCCCCCGCGGCGCACGAGAAGGCGCATCCCACTGCGGGGCGCGGCTCCCAAGAAGGCCCCACCCCGCAATCTCCATTGGCGAAGCCGGCGCGGGGCGGGGTCAGAGCGCCCAACTGTGACCCCGCAGCTCCTCCGGATCGTGGGTCCTGAGCAAGTAGCAGCCGAGGCTAGGAAGGGACTGCGGCACCCAGGGAGCCCCGTCCGGGGGCCATGGGGACACAGGTGAGGCTGCCGCCCGGAGAGCCCTGCCGAGAAGGTCAGTGTCTGTCTCGAGCCGGGGGACCTAGCACCTGGGTGTGGGTGAGAAAGGGTGGGCAGTCCGGGTGCTAGTGGAGACGGAGAAGGAATAAGCCCACCCTCACAGCATTCGTTCAGGTGTTTACTCAGCCAGACTGCCTCTCCGTCAGCCAGTCAGTCAACAAACCTGTCTCCGCGTCTGCAATATGCCAGCCTCTGTGGGACAGCCTGAGTCCTGTAAGACTTAACGTGGCTCCTATCCTGGTCTACCACGTAAATTCCAGCATGCTGAGTTTCGAGACGGGGAAATTAAGGAAAGACTTCCAACTCTGATTTGAGAAAGGTGTTTTCCTCTGACTCACATCTCGAGTCCGCGGTGCACACCCCTAGAGGACAGAGGGCGGATCCAGAGACCCGGCACACGCCCGGGGTTGTGTCCTGCGCTGGCTCCTCGAGGGTCAAAGCCGTAGAAGGTCGGGCATCCTGGACCCCGAGGGCGCTGGACCCACCTGGGCCGCACAGGTTTCTCTTTCTTTGAGTTGAAAGTATCTCCCACCCCACTAGCTCGTGTCTGACTCGCTGCGCAGTCATTCGGCTGTGTTGGGCGCTGTCCTTTGGAGGTTTGTCATTGTTGGCTGGGCTGGGGTTTCAGCCCCTCCCGCTCCCCCCCCCCCCCCCAGACGACACCTGTGCGACACCTCCCTTATTCCCCTTTGCTAGGTTTTTACAACACTAGCCCACTTTCTACCATACCCCCGAGGGGAGCGCGTGTGGAGAGCTGGTAGGGGCGCTCTGCGCTCCGCGGCAGGGACGATTTTCAGTGTCAAGGGAAAGCCGATTTCTAATTTTCCTGGAAAGCAAAGAGGGAGGGCGAAGTGCGAAGCATGGGAAGAAATATATTTTTCCAAAGTTGCCAGCAGTTTTCTCGGTGATCTAGCTTGGCTCTTCCCGAGTATTCCTTGGAGTGTTAAAAAAAAAAAAAAAAAAAAGGGCGGGGGAAGGGTGGGCAGGAGAGGGGAGAGCCAAAAAGTTGAAAGTGGTTAGTGGTTGCCTGGGCAGCTAGATCTAGAAGAATTTCTTACAGAGTCAGTTTGTATGACCTTTGTGTAATTAATACCTAAACCATAAGTCCGACTGCTAACCCATCTTCCTTGTTTGTCCAAGGATCTGTATGTTGGAGGGTGTGTGTTCATTACACCTACTTGTTTAAACATCCAGATGTTTTTCCTGCTTTGCTCATGCATTAGTTCCAACAAGAAGTATTCAAGTTGGATGTTTAATACCTGGGATTCATTGTGGTAGTTAATTGTCTGGAAGACTAGTGAGAAAGAAAGGAGAGAAATCAAATCTACATTATCAACAGTGGTGGGAAGAGATTAGCTTTAGCATCATTCTTCTCAGCTTTGATTTAGAGCCCTTGAATCTTTATTCATCTGTAAACTGGGAATAGTTCTTACAATTGTGAGGCATAGATGCAGGTGGGATTGTATACAAAGCAGATAGTTCAGAGCCTGATATGGAGGAAAGACTCAGTTTTTCATTTATTCATTCATCCAAGAGTCCCATGTCCTAGCCACTGATCCAGGTGCTAGTATAGAAGAATTTGCAAGAAAATCTGGCCCTAAGCTCTAGGCCAAGTTTCTGGTCCCGTGTAGCTTACTGACAGTCTAATGGCAGATAATATGCCAGGAAGAGATAAATAAAAAAGGACATTCGAAGAGTGATGAGTGCCATGGGAAATGTATTGAGAGAGTTAGAATGTTTGGATTGGGCACTCATGGAAAGTTCCTTACAGAAAGTAACAGAAGCTAGCACCCAAATGACCAGGAGTCCATCATGAGATCTGACGGAAGAACATTCCAATTGGACTTCCATGAAGAAAAAGTTGACCCCATAATTCAGTTTTTACTTTTAAAACATAGATGGGGGCTCCCTGGTGCCACAAGGGGTGAAGCACAGCAGAGCGAGACAGGAGAGGTCTGCTGCACCATGTGGGTACCTCCCTGGTTGGGGATGGAACTTGAGCTGCAGAGGCTGTGGATAGTTTCACAGTGCTTGCGCCACCAGGGACACCCCTACCATAGATTTCAAAGTACTGTATTCAAAAGTGCTTCAAGGTAGTAAAAATTGGGGCCTCCCTGGTGGTCTTGGAGCTGAGTCTCAGCACTATCACCACTAAGGCCTGAGTTTGTCCCTGACCAGCATAGGATGCTGGTCCACGTATGGCAGAGCAGACCTCTCCTGTCTGGACTGCTCCTCCCCTTAGCAATGTATTTCAGTAAATCTTCCTGCTCTGCTCCCTCCCACTCTGTCTCCAGTGAATCTTCTCACCACCACCACCCTTCCCCCCTGCACCTTGGGCCTACACCCCAGTTCCTCTACGTACACAAAAAAAGGTAGTGGGCCTCCCTGGTGGCGCAAGGGGTTAAGCACCGCACTATGAAGCAATCTGCAGTCTCTGCAGCACGAGTCAGATCCCCAGCCAGGGAGCTGACCCACATGGTGCAGCAGACCTCTCCTGTCTTGCCTGTTGCTCCCCTCAGCGGTGTATTTCAGTCAATCTGCCTGTTCTGTTCCCCACCCTGTTTCTGGTGAATCCTCTCACCCTCCACACCTCTGGCCTGTACCCCAGTTCTTGTATGCATAAATAAATAAATCTTTAAAAAAAAAAGATAGTAAAAATTCTCTATTAGGTTGTTCAGAAAACAAAATGCTATTAATTGTTTAGTCTCCTATTTAATACGAATTGTCCTGATTGTTATTCAAAACCTTGATATAAATGTCTGCTTATTGAAATAATTATTCCTTAGGTTCCTTTCCTGCATCTTCATTCTTTAAAACTTTTCTTTTTAATTTCAAGAAGATTTTATCTTTTATAATTTAGTAACTTTTATACTAGATTATAAAGTATGAAAACAGCAGCACTTTATATAGGAAATCTGTTGGTTAATAGTCCTCCTAGATTATGTAGCTTCCAAACACACTGATAGAGGAAAGTTTTTATTTAAAGATACAGTTTTTAGCTTTTTTAAAAAAATCAAAAGTATCCTTTCAATGTTACTTTAGTGAATTGAAATAATATACTTCTTACCCAGCCCTATTGGAGTTTATTTTATTTTATTTTTTTAAGATTTATTTATTTATGCATGCAAGAACTAGGGTACAGGCTAGAGGTGTGGGGGGTGAGAGGATTCACCAGAGACAGAATGGAGAACAGAATAGGCAGATAGACTGAAATACACTGCTGAGGGGAGCCATGGGCGAGTCAGGGGAGGTCTGCTGCGCCATGTGGGTTGCTCCCTGCCAGGGGATCGAACTCGTGCTGCACTCGTGCTGCAGATAGCTTCATAGTGCTGACACTTTACCCCTTGCGCCACCAGGGAGGCCCCCCTATTGGAGTTTATATGTAGATATGTCTACTGTGATTTGATTTCCCAATTTGCTCAAAATTATTTCTCATTTTTATTCTCTAAGTTGTTTGCCCTACGTTATTCGTATTAAGCTCCTCTTAGTCCTGTTTATTGGTGCTCTTATTAAAATTGTCAGTTCCGTGCTCATACCTGCCTCGGTGATCACTCTCATCAGTTCCTAGGATAGGGCCTGGCACGCAGGTGACGCTGTATAAGAATTTGCTGAGTGTTAATACATGAATACCTAACATGGTGCCTGCCTTGCATGGTAGATTTTCAACAACTGTTTTGTTGTGTGAATAAATGAAATGGCTATATGAATACACAAAGCTGTTATAAAGTCACAATTAAGCGGTAAGAAGAAGTTTGTTTGATGGGTTTTATTAAATAAGGCAATATGATGAAAAGTGACTGAGTACTTTAGATTGGGAAGGCAAAGAGAGTCTTTCCAAGAAGGTGGCATTACATGAGAGCCCAGCTTTGGAAGAAAGCTAGCCAGCCAGCTACTGGATGAAGTAGCCAATTCTTAAAAGCCTTACAAGGAAAAGGAATTTAGTCTATAAAAGGAATTGGGAAGGAAAAAAAGACAAATAACAGTAGGGAATGAGCTCAGAGAGATAACTGAAGGATTCTACAGGTCCTTGTAGACTGTAGTGGGGATTTGGGATTTTTTTCTGAATCATAAGGGAAGTCATTATAGAATTTGGGGAGGCAAAATGCCAAAATCAGACCTTATCTACCTGATCTTGTTCTCCACCACCTTCAACCTCAGCTCAGACCATCTCCCTCCCTCACCCCACATACATTCCACCCCACAAGCACATTCCTGACTCAGGGTTTTTGATTTTTCACCTGCAGAGAAGTTCTTCTGTTTAATGTTGTTTTTGAAAAAGTGTTCCTTTGTGCTTGCTTCTTTTACTGCTATCTGTGACACTCAACGTATCATGTGTTTATTAATTCATTTGTATGTTTCATTTACCCCCCTCTTAGAACGAATATAAGAGAGCAGGAATTTTGTTTAATTATGTATACATTGCATATTGTATCCTCAGCTATTGTATCCTCAGCTTCTAGAAAATACCTGATAGTAACTACATAATATTTATTGAATCAACTAAATTGGATGACTTTTTAGTGTTATATCAGAGAATGGGTAAGAGAGAGGTGTGCAGACTTCAAGCACATAAAGTTTTTTAAAAGTCCAGGATTAGGGAGCCTCCCTGGTGGCGCAAGGGGTAAAGCACTGCACAATGAAGCAATCTACAACCTCCACAGCATAAGTTCAATCCCCAGCCGGCCAGGGAGCAACCCACATGGTGAAGCAGACCTCTCCTCTCTTGCCTGCTGCTCCCCTCAGCAGTGTATTTCAGTCAGTCTGTCCTGTTCCCCGCTCTGTCTCTGGTGGATCCTCTCACCCCCTGTATCTCTGGCCTGTACCCCAGTTCTTGTATGCATAAATAAATAAATCTTTAAAAAAAAAAAAAAAAAAAGTCCAGGGCCTCCCCGGTGGCGCAGCGGTTGAGCGCTGGGTTGCGAAGCTGCCCGCAGCCTCTGCAGCGCCGGTTCGATCCCCGGCTGCTCCCTGGCCACCAGAGGAGGGTCCCACATGGGGCGCAGACCTCTCCTGCCGCCCTCTGCTCCCCTCAGCAGTGTACTTCGGTCCTTCTGCCTGCTCTGCTCCCCGCTCTGGCTCTGGCGAATTCTCTCACCCTCCAGCGCTTCTGACTGTACCCAGTGCTTGTATAAATAAATAAATAAATCTTAAAAAAAAAAAGTCCAGGATTAGGGGCCTCCCTGGTGGCACAGGGGTTAAGACACAACCTATGGAGCTATCCACAACCACTGCAGCACGAGTTCGCAGCCAAGGAGCTACCCACATGGCGCAGCAGATCTCTCCTGGCTCACCCACTGCTCCCCTCAGCAGTGTATTTCAGTTGGTCTGCCTGTTCTGTTCCCTGCTCTGTCTCACCTCCCCCACTTCTAGCCTGTTCTCCAGTTCTTGTATGCATGAATGGATAAATCTTAATAAAAAAAATGTTCAGGATTAGGAGTTTAGATTTTTGTTACAATTGCAATGAAAAATCATTGAGGGTGAGGATTAAGTAAGGGAGTGACATTATCTGATTCACACTGGCTGATAATTGAAGAACAAATTGGAAGGGACACAAGAGTTCATTCATTCTTTCCTTTGCTAATGTGAATAGGCAGATGTGTCAGTCTGCTGTGGCTAATAACACACAACCCAGAACTCAGCGGCTGAACCCAGACATCATATTTGTGCATCAGTGCCTGTAGGTCAGTTGATGGTTGACTGATCTAATCTGGGTCCACCTGGGTTTGATCTGAATCAGGCAACATGTTCACCTGTGTTTGGCTCCTTCATGTGGGGTGAGCCCAGATCTACTCTATGTGTTTTATTTTGGGGGCTCAGCTACAAGGGGCAGCAGTATCCAGGGAAGCTCAATTCCTAACAAACACGGAAATGCAAGAAAGTAAACCCAAACACAAAGGTGCATTTGGATCCTCTCCTCACATCACCTGTGCTTATACCCCCGCCCCCGCCATTGACTTCCAAGTCAATTCCAGTCCAGTAAATAAATCACATCAGGGGAAGAATACACTGCCCACATTCTGAGGAGCAAAGGAGTGAATCTTTGCTGAATAATAATCCAAATAACACATGGAATAGATGGCGAGACAAAGATTTCCTCAAAGTGGAACTATCCTGCAGTGATTAAAAATATAGTTTTATGTAATCTCTGATTTCTTAAGAAAATATTCCCTCCTTCATGTAAAAAACTGAACAAATTAGATGATTTTTCTCTATAGGCAAATTGTACTTGAAAAATTCTTCCCAACATTTCATGTTGGTATAAGCATTAATAATAATTTACAGCTGGCTTTATTTGTACTTTGTGTGTTTGTGTTTTTACTTTTTTGAAATAAGAAAGAACACTAGGTTGGGAATTGAATTAGTTGGCTCCAGTTTTGGCAGTTGTGACTTTGGCAAGTCACTTGGAGTCTCAGCATCAGTTTCTTGAAAGGATCTTCCAACTACAAGTCCATATGAGTTTAGAGCTGGCCCATCAGCAACATTTATGAGGTACCAGGGTTGTAAGTAAATTATCCTGGGAACACAGATAGCTTATGACCAAACCACAAAATTTAGAAGGCATCTTCAGAATCATATAGTCAAACCCCCTCATTTTAGAGATGAGGAAACAGAAACCAAGAGTGAGAACTCAACTCCCCCATAATTACAAGTATTTATGTTAAAGCCTAAGCTGTGGAAGGCATATAAGTCCTATAAAATTTAACCTTTATATTTTTAAGCTGTCTGGGTAAGTAAACTTTCACATCTATACGTAGAAGATATGGATTAATTTGAACCATATGAAATTTATTTTTGTAGGATCAAAGGTTGTCAGACATCATCAAAAATTAATTACACATGCTTCACCATAACTGACAACATTAACCTTACTAGTTGGAAGGGGAAAAACACTGGATATTACCCAATGCCCACCGACTACAAAATAATAAATTAATTGTGAGATGGTCATATAGTAGAATCCTATCACAGTGGGAAGAACAAACCCTGCAGCTACAGGTATCTACACTGACAAATCTCAAAAACAAACAAGTCACCAAAGAATATATACTACATGATTATATTTTTATATATAAAAGAGGCAAAACTAACCAATTTATTGTTTGAAAAGATAATCATCTAGGGAAATAATTTTTTTCAACAAAAGAATTTGAAGCAGGAAACTCAAAAGAGAGAGCCATTACCTCTGAGGGGTGATGTTTTTATTTCTTAAATTGGGTGATCAGTGTATTGTGTATATTGAATTCTTTTTCTTTTTTTCTTCTTTTTTAAAAAGATATATTTATTTATGCATGCAAGAACTGGGGTACAGGCCAGAGGTGTGGGGGGATGAGAGGATTCACCAGAGACAGAATAAGGAGCAGAACAAGCAGACTGACTGAAATATACTGCTGAGGGGAACAGCGGGTGAGTCAGGAGAGGTCTGCTGTGCCATGTGGGTATCTCCCTGGCCGGGGATCGAACTTGTGCCACAGTGGCTGCGGATTGCTTCATAGTGCTGTGCTTAACCCTTTCTGCCACCAGGGAGGCCCCTGAGTTCTTTTTGTTTATACTTAATAACTGTTTGTGAAATATTAATTCCTCAGTAATCAGAAAAATAAATAATAACAACATCTAAGAAATAAATAATAACAACATCTAAGAAGTAATACATACTCCCTGCTAGCAGAGTATAAATTGGCATAATCATTTTAAAGGGCTATTCAGTGTCTATTAAAATGAAAAATAATGAATGTGACAATTTTCCTCTTTCAATGTTGAATTAAAGTCTGGATTAAACTTCCTGGATAGTTACCATGCTTACTGGAATCTTAAGAAGCCAAATGAAATTTTCAGATATCTTGGAAACACTCTAAAGTCCCAGCCCACATGTCCTGTTCACCCATCTTTCCCTTCTACACACCCCCACACCCACCATTCACTCCCTTCTCATTCCGTCCTTCAGTCTGCTATAGGCTCTGTCCTTAACATGGCCCAAAACATAAAACAATTTAAATTCTAAGGTCAGTAACTTAGACAATATTTTTATTACTTTTTTTATTACTTTTTATTACTGCCATAAATCTTGGAATGTTAATGTCTTTCACTGCAAGAACTTGTACAATACAACAAAGATAATAATAATATGCTATCCCTTATCACCCTCTGCCTCCACAGCCCTTAAAATGTCAGGAACATTTTGCTATGTCAACATCTTAGAGAGAATATTGTTTGACTGGAATGAGCTCCACCCACACTATTTTCAGAGATGAAGTTTTGGAATGGTTATGTTAACTACACAGGAAGAGACATTGATGCAGCCACTGAATTTACTGGAAAGTCAAATCAGATGTTTTCTGAGGAATTAATAGGAGTGAAACTCTTACTGTCGAAGGGTGCTTTCCATTCTTGGAGTTTAGATGACATGAACAGTGCCCAGAATAAGATTAGCAAGAGCTAGTTGGCTTGCAAACTTGCTGCAATTTTCACTAAAACACTCTGACTAAAATCCCACAGTGTAAAGATTATCCCTGAAGTGGTATTGCTGTCCTTGGAATATTTATAAGTTTTGTCTCAGAATTTATACTATATTATCAAATTAAAGATGCTTCATTTTCAAGTTACAGAGATAAATGGGATATTTATCATGAAAAACTTGAATTAGATCATTTTTCCTTTTCTAGATCTGCACTTCATGGTTGCTTCTTAACTTTGTATGTGATAAAATTCAGATGATTTCATAATGTTTTGCCAGTGAGGCATAGATGCAGTTAATAAAGCTTTATTGCTAAGACATCATTTGGTCAAACTATCTTTTGTTGTTTTGTGATGCCTTCTTAAGATATTTGAAATATAAAGCTGACTTTTTTGTTGAATTCTAAAATTGTTCTTATGTTGTCTATGCCCTTTTCTGTTTAGGGTAATGACTAATGGGAAAATATGCCTTTTATGTATTATTATGATTGAGATTGAACATCTTATAAGTTTTTGTTTACTTTGTTTTATTAAGGTAACATACAGGAAAATATGCTTTTTAAAAGGAAAAAAGTTGAGAAGACAGAAAATCTAGTGAAAATGTCACCTTCTTAGCAATTTTTCAATAGAACAGATTATTTAAAGTTTCTTATACCGTGTAACATTTTTCATTTTGTGTTTAGCATTTAACGTCTAAATTCCTAAGTACTTGTTATAATGGATCTGGTTCAGTGGATTAACATGCTTATTTGATTCCTATTTTAAGAAAATCCTGATGTTTAATTTACTTTTCTATTAGATACTATTTTATTTAGGAGCAGGTGGGTTAAAATAAATCTCAAAAATAATTCTCTTCAGGGAAAGAATTACCAACAAATAAACCCAGCTTGAAACATGTCTTTTGAAATGCACAACTGATACCCCACCAAATGAGTTAGCTAGATTTTCTGGGAAGAAATTGGTGCAGTTGCAATGCCCTTTTGCTACATTCAGTTGTCACAGACACTGCTTTCCAGGAGACATGTTGATAATGCGAAAGGGGGAAATGCATGTGAGGGCCCTGTTGGGAATAGCTGAGTACAAGCCAGGTCTAAATAGCTAGGTGCTGCACCCATTGCCTGCTGTGTTGCTGGAACCACCGTAAGCAAGTTTTGCCAGATTTTCCAATTTATAAGAGGAATGCAGACCTTCAGGTGACATCTCTTTTTGTAGGTGAATTCTCTTATTAAAATGATAACAGCTAAATATTTTTAAGAAACCCTGTGAACCAAACTGAATATATTCTTAGGCCTTTGGACTTCCCTTAATGCATTAAAAAAAAAAAAGTTTTTAAGTGCATTTAAGAAAAGTGTTTCAATTCTGTCTACTCAACTTTCTCTTTCTTGCAGAAAGGGCATCAACACTGATACCTCTCCTTGTTTGTTGACATTTCCTTCTTTCCTTTTTTTTCAGGCTATGTGCTATCTTTGGTCTGTTCAAACTCCTCCCAGGCTTGGTGTGAAATCACAAATGTGTCAGAACAGCTGGCTTCTTCTGTCCTGTACAGTGACCTGAATGCCAGCATAACCAATCTGAACATTTCTGCAAAGGCTGAAAACAAATACAGTCTTTATGTGGGCCTGGTGCTGGCAGTAAGTTCCAGCATTTTTATTGGCTCCAGCTTCATATTGAAGAAGAAGGGTCTCTTACAACTGGCCAACAAGGGCTTTACTAGAGCTGGTAAGAATCAGATACAACTACTGAATTTAAGTTTCTAATCCTCTTGTAAACCCATAATGCTATAGCAATAATATTTTATTGCCTCTTTTTATTTTAGCCTCTTCTCTCTCTTCTTAGCAGGTCTCTTATCAGCTTTCCAAGATGGAACCAACTATGTCTCCTTTAGGTTGAAATTGAAATTCTTGCTTACTGTGTGGTGTGGGTTCTTCTTTCATAGCTTTAGACTGCATTTTCAATATTCAAGATTAGGTCCTGCTACCCAGTGCATGAAACATGTCAGTGACTTTTCTCTGCGCTCAGAATAAAATCCCAGTATCTTTCCACAATCTGATCTGCATAAAATGGTCCCTGTTACCTCTCCACCTTCATCTTTCAACACCCCCCCTATTTTTCTCTTGTTCCAGGAGACGCCAAGGTTGTCCCATCTCACGGTCTCTTTTTCTGAAACTCTTTTCCCAGCCTTTCATTTGACTGTCTCAGCTTTTAGGTTTCAGCTTAGATACCACCCCAGAAAGACCTTCCTTGACCCCCTCCTTTGGGAGGTCTCCCTCATGCATATTTTCCTGTATGTTACCTTAATAAAACAAAGTAAACAAAAACTTATAAGATGAACAATGGAATCATTGTTATCTCTTTTCTCACTATGAATTTCCTTCATAGTGCCTGTAATAATTTGTCATTTTACATTTATTGTTTGAATACTTGTTATCAACATGTTTATTTGGTTATTGACAGTGTGTTCACAAGAGCAGGAACCTTTCCTACCATAGTGTTTAGCACCCAATAAATATCTGTTAAATCAATAAATTAGTAGTAATAAAATTAGGTTGCTATTTATAATAACATGTCACATGTTGAGCATCCCTGCTTGATTATCCTTCATTAACCATAAATTTTCTATTTTTTCTTATCAAATATATTATAAAAATTATCCTGAGGTTTGCATGAAAAAATAAACATCTGTAAAAAAAAAATCTATAAATTGCTCAAACAAGTTTGTGAAAGAGTACTGTTGAAAGGGAGATTTGCACTATCAGAACATAAACATACTGCAATTCTGTATTAATTGAAAGAGCTTGGTACTTGCATTTTAAGAAAGATAGACAAAACAATCAAAGAAAATTGAAAACTCTTAAGGGGACCCAAGTACACCTAACAATTTAATATATGATTTTCCACTAGAGAAAAGATGATTTATTCAATCCAAGTATTGAAATAGTTGACAAAAATTAGAGAAGAAAAAAGTAAGAGTTTTACTTTATATCATTCAGCAAAATAAGTCCCATTGAGTTGTTATAATTAAATTTAAAATGAAATAATTTTTTGAAAACCTAAAACTTTTCTAAGCAAGAAATAAGGAAAAAAATCTATTCTACATAAAGGAAGAAATTATTTGGAATGACAAAAAAAAAAATTCCTACATGGAAACACTGAAAAGAAAAAATAAATGACATACGGGGGGTTGAGGGGAGATTTCAAAATATGACAAAACAAAACCAGTACCAAACCCTAGAAATCTGACTGTAGAATTGAGATTTTCAGAGGGGAGGCTAGAAAGTGGAGAGCAAATTGTGGAGTAGGCCCAGTGGATTATGGTAGAGAACTATGAGATCCCTGGTAGATGTGTATGGCAACACACATCTGAAGGGGAGTGATCCTATACCTCTGAAGAATATACAGTGTTGTAAACCACTGTTATCTTAATTTTAAAAAGAAAGGAAAAATTAAGAACAAAAAATTAATCAATTTAAAAATATATATGTAAACATTAGTTAAGTTCCATAAATTATAAAGAGTAACTATAGTCAACATAAAAAAGATTAATACCCTAACAGAAAATAGGAAAAGCATATAAATAAGAAACTTACAAAATAAGAAAATGCAATGGGCCAGTAAACACACCTAAGTAAACATGTCACTAGTACGGGCAAAGATATCAGCTACATAACAATGAACTCCTGAGTTGTTACATTTTAATAAGGTTTTTTCTTTAAAAGATAATATTTATATGTCCATTATATCTAAAAACAAAACAAAACAAAAAGATAATACCCTGCATTTCCAAGAGACTGTGGGGAATAAATAGCCCTCGCAAATGTTACTGGAGGCAGTGTATGTAGGTGGGTACAAACGTTCCTGAAAATGTTAGATGCCTTAAAACCTAATACTTCTGAAAACTTATCTTAAGAATAGGGATCAAACCTAGATTTATATGCCAGTATATTTATTTAAGAGTTTTAGACAATGAGAAGAAATCTATAAACCTATGAATTCTATATGGTAATATATGACTGTGTTAAGCTATATGCATGAATATGAATATTCAACTATTATTGAAGGACATGAGAATGCATTTGTGATATATTACTGTTTTTAAAAACAGATTATGTTGGGGTCAGAATGGGGGGATTGCAATTGTATGAGGAATATAAAAATAAAATTTATTAATTAAAAAAATAAAAACAGATTATGAAATTATATCAGAATATGTTTTCAATTTAGTCACCTGCAAATTTTGTAAGAAAATTCCAAATACACATAGTTAACTCTCTGGCTAGATAATCTTTACAGCAAATGTAACTGTTTAGTTTAATTATGACAGAATCGTATCCAATTCACAGGTTTAAGTACATTAAAATTGGTGAGAAAATAACATGTTCTATAACAAATGTGACTGAAGGTCATGATTATGGTAACAGGAGGGTAAGGTTTAGAATACCTCAGGGAAATTTTTTGTCCTTTTCATTAAACAGGACAGCAGTTCAATCTCAGGATGCCTGGGAAGAGAATAAATGGAATCTAGCTGGCTAATGTTTATTCTCTAATTGACTATCCAAAATCTCAAAAACTTCCTTGCCAGCCATCTTTTTTCCCATTAAGATCCTCATTAGGTACCAATATTATTTACAATTTGTGGTTTTTGGTCTTTAATTTTAACTGTGACTGAAATGAAGTATTCAGGGTTCACAACACTGGCATAAATACAGTCCTAATGATGAAATAAAATTTTCTTGCATGAAAAGACTGACTTTCTGTCGAAATCAGAGGTGATAGAAGAGTTAAACCATTGGAAATAAACATGTAGATATGTTCTAAGACTAGGTGTCCTCACTCATCAGTCTTGTCAACCATAAGCTAGTACCTTTCCTAGAAATAGATTCTTCAAACCTTCTTTCTCTAATATAGAACTTAATTTTTTTATTTTACAGGGCAAGGTGGACATTCTTACCTCAAGGAATGGCTCTGGTGGGCGGGGTTACTCTCAAGTAAGTTCCTAATGCTGAGAGTGGCGTTTGCTTGTAAAATGATAGATACATTGCACAAAATTGTTCAAAAATGATTAAATTATCCTTCTGATAAGGATTTAAGTCTAGAAATTTTAATACCTGTATAATATATTACCTTATATATAATGAGACCTAAAATTTAAAAGTCATTTTTACTCTTTCCACCTGTCCTCTCATTACTGCCTTGGAATGCAAGGGGAAAAGTTAATATTTGAAATATTATCTTAGCACCAACTTCCCCTTTCTCTTGTATTTCATTCCCAGGAACAATTGGGGAAAATGCATTCCTCCCACATTTTCCCCACTCCTAACTTGAATCCCATTATTCTAGCCATATATTTTATAAGGAATGGGTACATCTTCTTGGCCAAGACCCAAACATGGATAAATTAGCTTTTTAGCACTAAGAAATGGAGAAAAGATTGAGGATGTCAGCACTGTTCTTCCTTCCTGACTTGCCCTGAAGGTTAAGAGACTCTAGGATGTGAAGCACTTTCATAATGCTTATGTGATATCTGTCCAATAGAAGGCAGTGTTTTCTCCATAAGGCATTTTTGCAGATTTCTCTCTCCCTCTAACACCTCTGATTTTTTTTTAAATCCCAAACCTGAAACTTCAAAAGGCAAACCTCATATACTGAATTTCATACCACTTTGCTAGTCATCTCCCTCTGCAGCCTTAAAACTTTCATTTATTTTTCTATGCCAAGTAATGTATTTTAGTATTTCTGAGCTCTCTGTAAAAATGATGATTTTTTTTAATAAATAGTAGAATCTAAAAGTGTTATAGGACAGGGAGAGGGGCAGCGCAAACCCCACAAACCTGCCTATTCTACATGGGTTCTGCCATCCGCCTCATCAACACAAATCACAGGAGACTTTAATGGGAAGGAACTTTAATAAAACTAGGAAACAATACAGGTAAGGCAAAGAGTCTAGTTTCTAAATGAAGCACCCAGAGTTACCCGTCCCCTCGTGGGTAAAAGTCCATCCAAATGGGATTGGCCCAGAGCAAGGCCCCAAAGCCTGCCACAAGTCTAAAGCATCTTCCAGTGGGGACCCACAGAAAAGGGTCATAAACAACTAGACAAGCCCGGAAGGAAAAGAGCAAAATCAACATCCAGATAAAAGCTGCCATTGTCACCTCCCCACGGGTCTCACCCACATCTGTGTCACCCAGTCCACGACCAAAAGACAAGCGCAGTTTCTTCACGTGTCTCTCGGCTCCATGCACCTCCTCCAGGTCTTCTGGCTCCATCCTGCTTCCTTCCTCAGTCTCTTCTGCAGCTTCTCCTCTTCCTGCTCAGCTCCACCCTCCCTTGGGAGGGGCAGGGAACCTCCCCCTTTCCTGGGGACCACCCTGTTACAAAAGGATGAATAAAACTTATTTTAACATCTATTTTCTTCATTTGAATAAAAATTGAAAACAACTATATTGGAAAGTTTCTAGACAAATGTTGGGATGACTCTCATTTCTCTCTCTTTTACTTATGCCCCCCCCACCCACACAATAGAATGAAAATGTAAAGAGAATATTATACCATATAGGCTACATTTATGATTCATCATGTACAAAGTTTATGCCAGTTTTGAAAAGTGAAGAACATGTCTCCATGTTTAGAGATTTTATCTACTGGCAAACATATAATACTTTATTCATGAAATTAATATTTTCCTGGGAAGCTGTCTAGGGAGATAAAAATACAAATAATGTTAAATATTTAAGGAAAAGTTGAACTTCTAAGAAAACTACATAGCTCTGCTTAAGAAAGCAGTCTTCTAATTCTTCTGTGAGTTTAGACTTGTCTTATAATATTTTTCTAAAACTGACTACTCCTCTAGATTAGCCAGGTATGGGGCAGGAATGGAAGAAGAGCATAGTAGCCAGACATCTTTTATCTGTTCTAGTAGCTCTCTGTACAGTGTCTGTTTGCTTGGCATCGTTTGCCAGAGTAAAATACTGCATTCTGAGGCCAAGTCTTCAACTGTGACCTATGAGAGTACCTTAGCCCCAGAAAATGAGCCCAATTCTTGGAAGTATTTTCCCTCACTCTAGAAGTTATTTACATCTCAATAGCTCATGGAGATCTAGTGCTCCTTAGCTGAGAATAGTTTGCAAGAGCACATTGTTACTACTTGAAACAGCTTCTTGGATCTCCTAACTGCTATGACACTTTTACTCTTGCCAGTCATCTGAACGTCACAAATGCCTGGCTTTCTGGCCTTTTAGGCTACTGCTACCCAGACAGTAGATGTCTGCAAAGCATTCCAGTTTCACAAGTTATTTTTTGTTAATGTACCTGACAGAAAGTATTCTTGAGCAAACAGTTTTCTATTATTCCAAAACTACCTCTACTCAGTTTCATCTGAGTAACCAAATATGGTTTTGGTACTGAAAGAATTCAAATCTCTGTTGAACATCATTTTAAATGTGTATCCATCTGTCACCAGTTTTTATATTAGTTGAGTTTGTATCACCAGGTAAGTCTAGTTTATCTGCATCCCTTATCCCAATCATCTGCTAAGTTCAGTGATTCCTTTCAGCTTTATCTAGTAATATCTTTGGGATATGTCTATGTTTTGAATGTGCCATTTGTTTTTGTTCTTCTGATATGTAAGTCCATCTTTTATGTTAATTCTATTGTTTGCTTTATTTACAGTGGGAGCAGGAGAAGCTGCCAATTTTGCAGCTTATAGTTTTGCACCTGCCACCTTGGTCACCCCACTGGGTGCTCTGAGTGTGCTTATAAGGTAAGTGAGCAATAAGAAGCTTGGCTTCTGTAAGGATTTTAAAACTATGATGAACTTCAACCACAAAAAATATATTTCATTTACAAGAAGCATAACTCAAAACACAATTTAAAAATCACAAAAAATAATTTGAGAAGACTACACAATAAATAGTATTAGAAATAGGAAATCAATAAGCTTTCTCATTGTTATATAGAAAAGCTGAGAGTGAGCCTGGCTTCCTGCTAACAGAAAGTAATTGTTACACTTATGAGGATTCAAGAAAATCTAACAGGGTTTTTCCTCTGTCACCTGAACTTGCACAGCCCAGTTAGTCCTTTCTGTTGTCATAGTGTTGTCATAGCAGAGGACTGAATAAGCATAGTGTTTGAGTTAAATTTCAACTCTCATAAATATCTTGCATTGTCAGCTGGATACTTCTGTTTGGAAACCTCTTAGTTTCCCATAGAACTAGAAACAGGAATCATTTTCCCGTTTCATAGAATGTGGGTCTAATTTTTCTGGGTTGGTCTTTTTTTATGATCCCAAATGAATATATTCAATGGCCTCAGGGATTCTTTTATTTTATAACTAAATACTGGTGTTTTTTTTTTTTTTTTTTTGCTCTCTTTTCCTTTTATTCTCCATTCATTATCATCCTCTAGTAGAAAGCTTATGAATAGGCCTATCCACATTTTTTTTAAACCTTCTTCACAATATACATAAGGCACAATATACATAAGGCACTTGAAACAATGTCTACACAACGAACAATAAATAGCTGAGGCTGCAATCCTCATAGATGGCCAAACGCGGATGACTCTGGACAAGTACCTGGTATTGACCACAGTTTGGGAACAATGGGCATTGATATTGCCTTGGTGAGAGTGCCAGGGCATCAGGTGAAGGAGGCCAGTGAGCAGGTTCCACAGCAGACCTATTGATGGAACAGAAGGACAATACTCTGCTTTCCAGGGTGGTAGCAGTCTTGAACATCTGAGTCTATGGCAACCAAAGCAATGGGATCATGGCACAAATAAAAGTATCAAGGCAGTAGCAGTTAGTAAGGAAATATTTCAATGTTTTGACCACTATATTTTTTTATTATTGTGTATTAGCTAAATATTAGGTCTGTTCAGGTATTCCTTAGGCATGTATTTTTCTTGAAGCTTTCTGGGGCCTACATGTATCATGCCAAAAGATGGCAAAGAACTTTCATTTTGTTTGGTCTTACAGAAGAAGATGGAGACATTGAAAATGAATTGAGTAGGACCTCATGGGAAGGTCACAGCGCTATTGAATGTCTCTTTTAAAAACTATTTACATATGGAAGTAATGAAGTAGATTTGACCATCATCATTTCTGAGTTTTGAAATGAATCTAGTTTTTCAGAGTCACATAACAGGTTCTAATCAGTTGATTGAAATTTAGGGATGCATGAATCACAGTGTGACTTGTGAGGTACTGTAGAATCAAAACATAATTTAAGAGTGTTTTGTTTTCCTGCTACCAACAGTGCGGTATTGTCTTCCTATTTTTTAAATGAACACTTGAACATTCATGGGAAAATAGGCTGCATATTGAGTATACTGGGCTCAACTGTGATGGTTATCCATGCCCCGAAAGAAGAAGAAGTTGCTTCCTTGCATGAAATGGAAATGAAATTGAGAGACCCAGGTCTGTGATTCAACTAAAAGAAACATTTACTGGAATTCTGCTCTACTTTCTCTCCTCATCAAAAGATACTGGCAATAATTTGGTAATGGACTTCCTACAAGCCTGCTTATGAGTTGGTAGCCTCAATTTTACAGTCAGACTTATAGGGTTTGTTATTGGTTTGGTTTTATCTGACCCTTTGTTTTATTTCTCTATGTTGCACATAAAGGTGACTTTGCTTAGCATAATTCCCTCCAGTTCCATCACGTTGTCCAAAATGACTAAAATTTATCTTTCTTTATAGCTGAGTCATAGTCCCTTATGTGTATATACCACATCTTCCTAATCCACTCATCTTGAAACACCTATGCTTTTAAACTTAGAACTAACAAAATTTCACAAAGGCATGATTGTATTAGCGTGTTCTGAAGTCTAAATCTTTTGTTCCTGACAGGATTTATTTCCTTTGCTGTGATCATACTTGTGATCTGCTTGGTGCTGATTTTTATTGTGGCTCCCAGGAAAGGACAGACCAATATATTGGTCTACATTTCAATCTGTTCATTGATTGGAGCATTTTCAGTTTCCTCTGTCAAAGGCCTGGGAATTGCTATTAAGGAACTATTGGAATGGAAGCCAGTTTACAAGCATCCCCTCGTCTTTGTTTTACTGGCTGTACTTGTGCTTTCAGTGACAACACAGATTAACTATCTCAACAAAGCACTGGACACTTTTAATACATCTCTTGTGACTCCCATTTATTATGTGTTCTTCACATCCATGGTAGTGACTTGCTCCGCCATCTTATTTCAAGAATGGTATGGAATGAAAGCTGGAGATATCATCGGAACCCTGAGTGGATTCTTCACCATTATCAATGGTATCTTTCTTCTACATGCTTTTAAAAACACTAACATTACCTGGAGTGAGCTGACATCCACTAAGAAAGAAGTGTTCTCTGTGAATGGCAGTGATGACAAGTATGTCTTACTTGAGAACATAGAAAATTTCACCTCGGGATATGACGATGATGTCACCTTATTTAGCAGGACTGACGAGCAAAGCCTCTAGAAACGCTGAACCTTAACCAATGTGAGACATTTGGAGATGAGAAGGAATATCTGGTTCTTGGAAGAACTGTTAGAATTATTAAAACTTTTCAAAGTTTTAATGATTTCCATTTGCGGCCAAATAAAAATGCCTTTCTGGAACCAAGTTCACATTTGAAAATCAAGATTTTGTTCCTTCTGCAGTAGACTTCAGTTTTTTCCATTCTGTAAACTGGAAGTATTTCCCAAACATAAAAGAAGTCAAAGAGCTGGATTAGTCTTAGAATGATCTTTTTTTTTTTTCAGGTTACATTATATTTGGCTTTGCCCTGTGTCTCTTCTGCTTTTAGCTGCTACTCTTAGTCTGCTAGTAATTCTACATAAACTTAGCCATGTGCTAATTAACAGAGTATCCATCATCATTCTCTAATGAGTTATGGTTTCAAGATATTAAAACTGAAAGTGAGGTCATTGAAGCTTCCCTCCTCCCCCGCCCCTTGCACAAATTCCTTTTTAAACTAGATAAAGGGTAGAATGTTAAAGGAAAAAGTAGCTCTGCTTCGGAAACCTGCTTCTTGGAGGACTAGGATGCCCAAAATACATACACCCTAAAAGACTTATGAATTAGAATTTACTGACAACACAAACATCTTCTACCAATTAAAAAGGGAAGATGGAGGACAGAGAAAAATACTTTCTATTTTAAGTACAGTAATTTTTTTTTTTCTTTTCACAAAAAACAAAGCCACAAATGATTGTGTTTACAAGTTCTTCTGGAGAAATCCAAGGGAACTGAATCATTTTTTTGTTCCTTTCTTTTACTATTATCCCAAAGGTGATTTTTCTTATTGATAGAGATTTTTATAAAGTAATCATTATATTATTTTAGGATTATATTTTATACTTCAATTTTTCTAAGATGTCTGGCCCACAAAAGCTGATGGGTTTGCCACAGGCTGCTGGAAAACTACTAAAAAATTCTTTGTTAGAAATCTGAGTGACTTAACATAATTGTTCTCTTGAATTTTGGCCTCCAAAAGCTGATGGGTTTGCCACAGGCTGCTGGAAAACTACTAAAAAATTCTTTGTTAGAAATCTGAGTGACTTAACATAATTGTTCTCTTGAACTTTGGCACTTCTAGCCTTACTCAGAAAACTACAATTAGTGACTAACTTTTTAATGCATATATATCCTGTAGTAAGTGACAGACTCTTTTTTTTCTGTATAATTTCCTCCTGGCCATGTTTTCCATACATTTTATTGATAAGAACTTTGGGAGAATAGGAAGGGGACTGGACATCCCAGAATATGAAATATTAAACCCACGATACTACTATAGGAAAATACATTTTTGCATTAAAACTTTCATAAAATCTTCCTGTCTCTTTACAAATGTATAGCAGGAATAACATTTTGGTGGTCGTTAACACTTATGGACAGATTTTTCCATCACCTACTGATTTAATTCTAAGAAACTAGTTACCTTGTTTCTAAGCTAAATTTAACTTCTCTCAATATTAAGCAAATCCTAGCCAAAAAGTTGTCTTTTTAAAAGAAATCCTGTAGGTTGACTGGATTTTATGGCTCTCACATTAAATGTTACCAGTTTTGTTAGTCTGTTTGTAATCTAGCTCAAATCTATACATAGTGATAATAGTAAATTCAATTATTCAGAATTTTATTAAACTGCATTTCCCTAGTTCTGTGAACTATGACTAATGTTAACAGCGATGACCTGAGATTGTAGTTTCTTTGGCATTGTTTAGTATGGTGTGCATTTCAGTGAATTCTAAGCTTTTGAAAATTGTTAATCCCTGGACGATATGTGGATTGATACCTCAGGTCAAATATATGTTTACTTTGCTGGTTGCTGTTTCGCTTTAACTGTCTATCAGATATATAAGCTATGAACACAACCTTGTAGGAAAAGTATTTTCTGAAACGGTAATGTTTGAAAATTGTAATAGTTATTTCTAAATTTTGGTGGGAGTTTTTGGGTTGATTTGTTCATTTTCTGTTTTGGGGTTGGTTTGTTCGTTTTCTGTTGGTCTCTCCAGGAAACCTTGGTGAGGAAATTAATGGCATCCAACATGAAAGGCTACGGCGCGTCTCCCATAGTGAATTTTAAAGCCAGGTCTTTCTTACTGTGTTACCTGTTCCAGAGCTTTGTCCTTGATACCTTGCGCCCAGGTTGAAGGCTGCTGGAATGTAAGAACCCATGCATAACCTAGATTGGAAATAAATTGGTCTTGACACACATGCTCAAGATAAAGACTGAGAAGATTTACCAAGTTGAAAAATATGGACAAACAATGAAATATTTGAAAAACTAAAAATTTCTCATGGGCATAGGCATTGGAAAATGAAAATATTATTGCCAATTTAAAACTGAGAATAATTTTTCCCAAATAGGAAGAGATTGTCTAAGGAAGAATAAAATGCTGTATTCCTATATTTAGAGTAACTATGTTAGTCTTAATTGGTAGCTTCATATATGTATATATTTGAATATATATATTTTATATATATCACATAGATATCTTTTTGAGATTTATTATGTGAATATCTGTACATGTGTCATTAAGATTACAGAGTTGTCCTCACATTGCCTAATTGAAATTTTCCCCAATTTTGTAAACATAGTAGTTTTATTTTTTGACATAATTCTTAGATCATTGGTTAGTGATTTTCTTTTTAGTTCAGATTCTAGAATGTTCATAAAACCCTTTAGATTTTGCAGCATGAAAGTAAATTAACACTTAGGTTTTGGGAGTACGAAATCAAACACATGGTGGGGGGCACCCTGCAGCACTGTTATATAACAGGTATTTAATAAAATTTAGTCTTTTTGAATTAACATTTTCTTACAGACTTAACACCAGAGAGGTAAGAACCATTTGTTACCAGTTTCCTTTTTTTTTTAAGATTTATTTATTTACACAAGAACTGGGGTACAGGCCAGAGGCATGGGAGGGTAAAGGGATTCACCAGAAACAGAGCAGGGAGCAGAACAGGCAGACTGACTGAAGACCCCTGAGGGGAGCAGTGGGCGAGACAGGAGAGGTCTGCCACGCCATATGGGAATATTCCCTGGCAGGCTGGGAATCGAACCCGCACTGCAGAGGCTGCAGACAGCTTCACAGCGTGGTGGCACTCAACCCGCTGCGCCACCTGGGAGGCCCTGTTGCCAGTTTTCATACATTCTTTATCTTTTCTCAATTGGTGCTACATTTATTTTGATAATCAATGTGAAAATTCCATCATTATAGATTTCAACACAAACACAAAATTACACTAACAGAAATATTTTATTTTTTCTAATAATACCAGAAAATCTGAACTAAATGCAATCTTCAGAATCTAAGAAAACTCTGTGGGAAAGAAATATATATGAAATGTTCTCAAATATTTTGAATAAACTCTGGGGGGCTATGAAATTTTCTACTTTTTAAATGTTAATATGTACTGTTCACTTTAGAAAGTTTACAACTTTCAATGTTTCTGTATATTTTTTCATTTGTAATAAAATAGGTGATTTAATTATGCTTGGTGAAGTTCAATTTGTACTTTACTGAAGTGTATGTAATGGCAAAAAATATCCCCATTTAAATTTGAGATAAAAACAAAGTTTTGTCATTTAAAAACACCTGCACTTACATTAATGTTTTCTTTTCCCTTGAAATTGCCATCTATTTTTGTAGAGGGCTCACCACAAAACCATTTCCTGTATAACTGATTTGCCAACTGAATAAAAGTTAGGAGAAACTCATCTTTCAATAATTTTGTTGGAAGCTCAAAGCAATCAGAATAATGAAATTTCACAGTCAGAAATTTTTTTATGTCTCCCACAATAAATTTTTTCCACCATCATTCCTGTATAACCTTGTCCCTGTCTCCTTTCTTTTCCCCCCTTAACCTCAGAAACCCTCACTTCCTTCTTATGTCTACTGGTTTTGGTAAGCTATTTTGCTATGTCAAATCATCTGCTATGTAAATGTCCAACATTTTCATTCTTTGCTTTACTGCAAAGAATTTCCTCAAACTCCATGTTTCTGGAAATGGCAGCTTTTCATCTTTCTTTATGGCTGAATATTATCTGTAGTGTGGCTATACCACATCTTGATCCAATCCTCTATTGATGAGTTCGGTTTAGAAATTTAAAAAAAAAAGGCATTATAAAAATAATAAAAAGCATTATAAAAATATTTGGTAGCACTGCATTTACATTTAGAAATTCTCTGCAAATCGAAGAGAATTATAAACCTATTTGACTGCATTGCATTACATTTATTTTACATTTAGAAACCCTCAGCAAATTTCCTTCTAGCCTTTGTGGAACTAAGGTTTCATGTTGTGTGTTGACCGTATCACCATGATTCATCAATTTTCCCTGCTTTGATTTGAACTCACGTTTGAGAAAAACTCTCTCAGTAGTTTCTATTAGGTATAGAAAAGGGCCTTACACACTTCCTCAGAGGAGCATGGCTTCGTTATTGCCATCCCACCATCCAGCTGGGCAATGGCTTTGATTAAAGGACCAGAGAAGTCTCATTTCTGGGAGACCTGGAAAGAGTCTTGTAGCCAGTTTCCCCTGGACTCCAAAATAGGGAGGGAGGGGTATTTCCAATCTGTCCCAGAATCAGGGAGGGTTGATGGCAGCAAGGTATGCATAGATAAGAGGGAGCCCTCTCCAGCAAGAAGGAAAAAAACTTAAAACCCAACTGCTTTACAGCTCAGGACAGCTGTCCCAGCTCTGGCTCTTGAAGTGTTCTGTCCTAGCTCTTCCTAATAAACCCTGTTGATGACTTTATTCAGTGCTTAGTGAAATTCTTTTCCCGAGACAACGAAGACTCTTGGGTGTTGACGTCTATTGACCTCATTTCAAGGAAACAAATTGTCTTGGGTGGTGGACAATCATTTAATAAGGTTAAAAACTAAGCCCCCACACCTAAGCCAGCAGGAAGGTTTGGGAGGCTTGAATAGTAACAGAAATTTATAAGGTTGCTATGGGAACCAGACCCTAAGGCTGATCACTTAAAAAAGATCACTTTGGCTATAAATGCGGAAACAGGGCCAAAACACATTCTGTGTCAAAGGTCGACACCCAAGACAGACATTCCAGTAAATAACTGGCCCAAACAGACTCTCACATT